TCCTAGGATATCGAAGTCCACGAAAGGAGGGAGGGCATTCTCGCATTTAGCTCCAAAACTCTGGAATAGCCTTCCCGATACGGTCCGATGCTCTGACTCGCTGACACAGTTTAAAACTAGACTAAAGACGTGTCTCTTTAGTCAAGCATTCACATAATGCTTACCTTTTAGTCCTCTGCTATGCCATACGGAACCGTTTGCCACTGAAACTGCTTAACGCACCAGTGGGGCTCGACAGCCTTATAGACAAACGGGTCGGTCCGTATGGTTGCGGTTGGGTTGCGGAGAGTTTGGGTTGCGGAGAGTTGTGAGATTATGGTTTTCTAACACCTACTCCCGTGTAATGGAAATCATTATGAACATCAGCTATGCTAATTATTTCCCATCTGCCTTTCTGCTGTTATCTCGGGACGCTTGTCCCGAGAAAAATGGCGTTCGTAGGCTCCAGTTTTGTATCCTGCCTCTCACGGGGATTTCGGATGCCCCAACGCCTGTGATGAGAAGACCAACGCCTGTGAAGAGACGACTCAACGCCTGCGAAGAGACGACTCAACGCCGGCGATATGTTATCCCCTTAATATTACATGATTAACTAAATGTATTTTTTCCAGGTACTTTCTGATATGCACTTACTGTAAAGCTTCTTTGAAACCCTATGATTGTTAGCCAGAGGAGAACTGGCCCCTGACTAGCCTGGGTTCTCCCAAGGTTTTTTTCTCCATCCAATCTGATGGAGTTTTGGTTCCTTGCCACTGTCGCCTTGCTTTTGGCTTGCTTAGTTGGGGATATTTAATATTCAACAATATTATTGAACTGTGTTGTACTACTTTCATGTTATCACTGTGAAGCTGCTTTGATGCAATCTGTATTGTGAAAAGCGCTATATAAATAAATGTGACTTGACTTGACTTAATTAATCGAAATTAATCGCATTTTAATTGCATAAATATTTGACCTGAGAACAGTGAGAAGTACTTTTTTTCACGTGGATTTTTAGTATACTATTGAATAATGACTGAATACATAAGCTTAAGCAAGAAAATATTGTTTATTTTTGTTCAACCGAGTCCAGCAGACCAGTGCAATTTTTGCCATTAAGTGTAATTGCTTAATTGCTACACTAATAGCAATAGCGAATTCCTTGTTGCATAGCTTGCACACAACCATGCTCTTATCGACGCTTCCATCCGTTCGTTTTTTGTAACAAAATTTCCCATCCACCGGCCAACCAAAGGGATCTCGTCAGCTTCTTCGCATAGACAGTATACGAAGTGGACAGAGCATCTCATTGGAACTCAGTTGAAGCCCATTTCTAGCGATTTTGGAGCACTTCCGTTCCTGACGCGCAGACTCAAACCGACTCAAACTAAGCTTGATGACGTGAGCAACCTGTCTGACAGACGTTACTCTTCTAGTAGCTGTGCGTGAAAATTGCCAACGTTAATCTTGCAGAGACGGGGAACTTGAGCAAAGAGTTCTCTGGCGTGAGTGAGCAGGAGTAAGTATTCCGTTGCTTTTATGGACTCATTATCTATGGGCTTCTCCCTTGACGGGACGTCCCCCCGATCGCCTGCGAGCTTCTCCTCCTGTCTGTACGGTCATTTCTGTACAGCGCGACAGAGAGTCGAGTGGTTGTGACGCAATCGTTAGCCTATTTTTACTAAATCTGTTTCTACGGGGCCATAATGTAACATAGAAGGTAATGGAGCCCTTTATACATTGTCGTGTTTCTTTAGAAATAAATAATGGACAAATGGAGTCTTTAAACGCCTCAGATGTAAAGTTATTCGCTGTCAAAGTGACGCCAAAATGAATGGGAGTCAATGGAAATGCTAACGCAAGTGAAGTTCTGCTACAACATGGCGGCACCCGGCCGGCTTCAACTTCCGGTCGATGGATTACCCCCTTGCTTCTTCGTCATGAACGCTAGTTGGTGCGCCAGTATAATCGGTCCGCCGAAACTCATCGAGTGAGAAACGATCCGCGGTGCAAAAATAAGTGGGATTAAAAATATTTTTTTGTGTAATTAATTAACGTGTTAAAGTCTGTAATTAATTAATCTTAAATAACGCGTTAAAGTCCCGGCCCTAGTTTAAATTATAAAAAGCGCATTATGGCATTTTAGAATTAGTAATAATAATAATAATAATAACATTATTAACTTTTTTTTTGTCTCCAAAGTCAGATTTATTTCTAACCAAAAACTAAAGATTTAAGGCCCGTTCACACCAAGAACGATAACTATAATGATAACAATAAAGATATTGTTCTAAAAAGCCAATCAGAATCCGTCCCGTCAGAGCTCCAGTATTTAAAGTGACGGGCGAGCGATAGAGTAAACTGCAGCGCTTGTAATAAACAGAATGATATCGCAGGTGATGTGAACGCTGATATTGTTATTGTTATCGTTGTTGATGTGAACGGGCCTTTACCACACACACACACACACACACACACACAGACAGTAAATGATCATTCAGATATTCATCTAACTGTATTGTGTTTGTATGTGACATGCTTTAGATGCTCTCACAGCACAAACTATTTTTGATTTCATTGGAAACCAGCAATCAGACATCCAGACGTTCAGCCGTGACAGAAACAGAAGCTCAGGGTTTCTCTCTGTGAAACTTCTACATTCATCTTCCATCTGGAGGACCTTCAACTAGATAAATACTTTATTGTTTGTAAGATCATAGACAAACACATTACTGTAACACCGGATATCAGGAATATGATGTGTCAAAACAAACACATTAAGAGCAACTAAAACTATCTATTCAATAAATTAAATGAATAATTTCTATGTCATACACAAATTTAAACAATCATCAATGCTTGAAGTTGACGGATGGAAAAGACAGACAGAAACACAACAGGCCTCATTCATGAAACTCACTTATGCACGAATATGGCGTTATTATCCTATCAAATGTCGAGAGCTCATTATTGTAGCGCGAAAGAACATTAATATTATGCGCGAGCGTGAATCTCTCTGCTCACGCGCGGGAACTGGGCACGCGCTCTCAGATACACTTCTCTTGTAAGAATTCTCTCTCTGGGCTGAGTGAGCTCGCTGCCTCGCTCAGAGAATATGCCTGCACTTAAAACGTGTTCAGGGCAATCGCGAATCGCTCCTCTTCCCCAGCTAACAATTTTAGGTTATAAGAACGTTTTCATAACGTTCCCATTAAGTTATAAAAACGTTATTTCTGAATGTTCTAGGGAATTTCAAAAAGTCCAGTTTTTTAGACGTTGTATTAACGTTATTTCTTGGTTATAAGAAAGTTCAATTCTCCCGTTATGTAAACGTTGTATTAATGTTATTTCCTGGTTATAATAACGTTAGAACGTTCAATTCTCCCTTTATATAAACGTTGTATTAACGTTCTTGTTTGGTTATAAGAACGTTATTCAAACGTTCAATTCTCCCATTATATAAACCTTCTCTTAATGTTTTTCTAAGATAATGAAAAACGTTTCATTCAATAAAAAAAACATTAAGCAATGTTTTAATAATTATTAAAACCTTTCTTAATGTTTTTTATATAACAAGGTACCCTATATAATAGGCCTAGCCTATATGAAGAACCTAAAATAAAATAAAAAGACCCATGAATCATGTCTATAATATGTGTAATGTAGTCCACTGAAGTCGAGTTGAATTGAACCGAAGTAGGCCTATAGTTTATTCCAGTAAACCGATTTGGGTTGAAGTGACCATATGAAATTAACATGAACATAAACTTGGACTAAACATAGAATCACCAACAATGGTACAGGGAACAAAGCTAGACAAGAGACATTGGGAACACAAGGACAAGGATTATGACCAAAAACAACCAATGACATCCACAAGTTAAAGTTAATTTAATTTATATAGCTCATTTTTACAACAATTTCCAAGTTTATGTTCATGTTAATTTCATATGGTCACTTCAACCCAAATCGGTTTATTGGAATAAACTATAGGCCTACTTGGGTTCAATTCAACTCGACTTCAGTGGACTACATTACACATATTATAGACATGATTCATGGGTCTTTTTTATTTATTTTTGTCTTAATTTTAAAATCTGAAAGTTCTTGTTTTAGGTTCTTCATATAGGCCTATTATATAGGCTACCTTGTTATGAATGAAACGTGTTTCATTATCTTAGAAAAACATTAAGAGAACGTTTATATAATGGGAGAATTGAACGTTTGAATAACTTCTTATAACCAAGCAAGAACGTTAATACAACGTTTATATAAAGGGAGAATTGAACGTTCTAACGTTATTATAACCAGGAAATAACATTAATACAACGTTTACATAACGGGAGAATTGAACGGTCTTATAACCAAGAAATAACGTTAATACAACGTCTAAAAAACTGGACTTTTTGAAATTCCCTAGAACATTCAGAAATAACGTTTTTATAACTTAATGGGAACGTTATGAAAACGTTCTTCTAACCTAAAATTGTTAGCTGGGGAAGAGGAGCGATTCGCGATTGCCCTGAACACGTTTTAAGTGCAGGCATATTCTCTGAGCGAGGCAGCGAGCCCACTCAGCCCAGAGAGAGAATTCTTACAAGAGAAGTGTATCTGAGAGCGCGTGCCCAGTTCCCGCGCGTGAGCAGAGAGATTCGCGCTCGGCATATCATATTCCGCGCGCGAGCAGAGAGATTCACGCTCGGCACATCATATTCCGCGCGCGAGCAGAGAGATTCACGCTCGGCACATCATATTCCGCGCGTGAGCAGAGAGATTCACGCTCGCGCATAATATTAATGTACTTTCGCGCTACAATAATGCGCTCTCGACATTGGACAGGATAATAACGCCATACACGAAATGTTATTAAATCTGCTCATATAAACTGTGTCACTGAACTGAAGGAAATGATGTTGGAAAAAATATTTTACCAACACTTTACAGAAATTCGCTCTGCTGCCGTTTCAAGGCCAGTTAAGCTTGTTAGTAGCTGATTTAGTATATATTTATATATATATAAGTAAACAAAAAGAAAATGCTTTATTAAAAACTCTAAATTACATCTATGATACATCTGATATTTACATGGAAATGATTCTTCTGGAAATGAAGAAACAAATTGAAGTGTTTAGTTTTCAGTTTTCTGCATTTGTCCCGAATGAACCAGGAAGTGGTTCAGGATCAGTGTGTGTGACTCCAGATATTATAAAAGCAGGCGTATGATAATCTGAACACTCAGAGCCGCGAGGGCGGGGCTTGTCCACGAGGAGGAGGAGCCTGAGAACGTCCTGTCGTGATTGGCTCTGCCGTGCTCCTGTGGGTGTGTCTGCACAGTGATGTAACCATTGATGATGCGGACGAGAGGGGGCGGAGCTTCGGCCGTCACACTGTGAGAGAGAGAGAGAGAGAGAGAGAGTTATGATGGAATGAACTGCAGAAAAATTACTGAAGTGTCCAAAACACACTGCAGAAATGATGCTTTCCTCAGTATCTTGTATACCAGAACTATCTGGTCTGAAATTTCTGAGAAATGTATCAAAATGAAGCGAGTTTATGCTTAAAACGAGACAAATATGAGTTTAGAAAAATCAACTTAATTCAAAGTGAAAACAAGATTATTTTTCTGACTCCATTGACAGATATTTATGGAAGCCACAGAATAAAAAATAAAAAAGGTAATTGCGACTTTTTATCTCACAATTGCAAGTTATAAAGTCAGAATTGTGAGATATAAACTCATAATTATCTTTTAAAATGTCTTATTCTGTAGCAGAAACAAGCTTCCATTGATATTTGTTCTTGTTTTAATCATAAATTCACTTAATTATGATACATTTTTCACATCTTAATATCTTCAGTCATTGTTCTTCTCCAGTAAATGTGTCTTGATGTAAGAATGATTAGATGTTAGTGCTGGAAAACGAGACAGAAACACTGAGGAAGAACAGGATGTTTGCAGTCCATGGAATCAAAAACACGTGCAGTCATCATCATAATCATCTAATAATTCATTAATCTATTTAATAACATTTGGCAAACATCTCCTTCTGAACAGGGAAATGTGAAGGAATCGCTTCTGGACCGAAACTAAGAGCGAAACGTGACTCTGCGAAAACATCAGATGGTTTGTGTGTTTTCAGGAGAATTCCTCCGACCACATGTGGTTTCGCTCAAACACCGCGATCGCAGAGTCTTCGGTCACGTGACCGGCTGAAATCTGCGCGTTTATGAAATATGAATCCGCACTAAACGCCCGTCTTTTCCTTGAAGGAGGAGGGAAAATAAATGGAGGTTTAGAGTCTGTCAGAACTCATGAGACGGACGGGAAACATAAATAAAGTTTCCTTCACGTCCTCCATCTGTGTCAACACTCGAACATCTCTGAACGTGTGTGTGTGTGTGTGTGTGTAGCTCTGGGTCTCAGACGTGTGCCAGGCCCGTCTCCCTCCACGGGTCAGAGTAAATGAAGTCTATATGCAGGTCTTCTGTTTGTGTTGAGCGTCTGGACCTGAACCGCCACTCGCTACGCTTCCATAAACTGTTTATTAAAGAAATATTGTTGTTCCTCGGGATTACGTGGGCGACTGTAGACATAAATCCAAGCAAATTTCCAGAACACGGTTCAGGCTCGGCTGAGAACATGTCATCTGATGTAAAGAATCTGTTAGAAGCTCCAGAACTGTGACACTGATCCGTGAAACACGAGTGATCACACACCGCTCGAGGCGGTTCTGTGAGTCAGGGAACCGGGCTTATATCTGAAACCATACAAAACATTTCCATTACTGGAAATAAAATAAACATTTCCTGTGATTTCAGCTAGTAGATAAAGTTGAAGTGCTTAAAACTAACTAAAACTACAACTTAATACAAACTATATAAAACATTTTTTAAGAAAAAGGTGACACTTTACCATAAGGTTGCATTAGTTTACATGAAAAATACTTCTAAAGCATTTATTAATCTTAGTTAATGTTGATTTAGAAATTTACAAATACATAATTGCAATCAAAAGTTGTTAATAGTATTAAATGAACCTGAACTAACATTAACTAACAATGAACTGTTATGTTTTTATTAACTAACTTAACAAAAATTAATAAATACGGTAACTAATGCGTTGCTCATTGAACTAACATTAACTTACTGTAGTGTTACCACAATATCTAATAAAAATGACAAAAGCACAACAATAAAATAATCTAATGAAAAAATTATTTCATTCAAAATATAATATATAAACCCTTAAAACATTTTAACTATTTGAAATAAACATGAACTGAAATAAAATAAAATATAAAAAAATATAATTGAATTAAGCCTTTCAACTTAAGTACTAAAATAACCTAAACTAAATAAATGAAATAAAAACTATATACCCATATTTCGAAAAACTATATACTCATATTTCGAAAAACTATATACTCATATTTCGAAAAACAATAAAGACTAGAAGAAATTATTGCGCTCTATATTGACACATATTTAGTTCCCTTTCGAGGGAACTCGAGATGCGTCGATGACGCTTTGGGAACGCCCCCAGCATGAATGCGTCTGAAGCATCATGTCAACTAGTCCAATGGAAAGAATGAGCGTCATGGGCGGGTGACGTCATGACCAGGAAGAGATAAAGCACATCCAGTGCAAACCGGCATCAGCTTCTGTTGCCTCAGCAAGCGATCTGTGTTACTCTGTCTGATATATATACAGTCGTGCCCAGAATTAATCATACCCCTGGTAAATATGATCAAAAATGGCTGTAAAAAATAAATCTGCATCGTTTATCCTTTTTATCTTTCATTAAAAAAATTGGCAATCAGAACAGTTAGCGGTTCGGGCCGCGGTTCGGGCCCCAATATGCAAAGGTTGGGGTTGAGGCTCAATACCAAGAAGAGTGTGCTTTCTCCAGTACAGAGGACCACTTTTCTTGGAGTGGTTTGGGATTCAGTCACGATGCGAGCCGTTCTGTCGCCCGCTCGTGTAGCTGCTATCCTTACTGCCACAAAAGAGCTAAGGCTAGGCCAGTCACGCACTGTGAAACAGTCCGAGAGACTGTTAGGCCTCAGGGCAGCAGCGTCCAATGTGATACCCTTTGGCCTGCTGTACATGAGACCTTTACAGGGGTGGCTCAGGACCAGAGGGTTCTCCCCGAGGGAAACCCACTCCGTACGATCAAGATCACGTCGCAGTATCCCCGCACCTTGGTTATATGGAGGAAACACTGGTTCTTGTTCCAGGTTCTGGTGTTGGGAGCTCTTTGCCATCGAGTTGCGATCTCGACAAATGCTTCCCTCACTGGCTGGGGAGCGGTGTTGGAAGGCCGCTCAGCTCAGGGCTTGTGGAGGAGTCATCATCTCTCTTGACACATGAATTGCCTAGAGATGATGGTCATCTTCAATGCGTTGAGACATCTCCTCCCAGACCTGAGGGGCCATCATGTGTTGCTCTGGACAGACAACACGCTGGTGGCCTCTTATTTTTGGTCCCTCAGGAAAATATGCTCTCTTGAGGGCAGTGTATATTCCAAGGGGCCAGAATATGGGAGCAGACACCCTGTCGAGGCAGGGGCTGAGGCCAGGGGACTGGAGACTCCACCCCGAGGCGGTGGAGCAAAAATGGGAGATTTATTACCAGGCACAAGTGGATTGGTTTGCGTCTCAGTACACAACGCACTGTTCTCCCTTACTCAACCAGGCCCCTTGGGGCTGAATGCTATGGGGCAGACGTGGCTGAGGCTGCATCTGTATGCAATTTCCCCTGTTGCTCTGCTCCCAGGAGTTCTGGAGATAATCCGCCAGGATGGAATAAGCCTACTGCTAGTAGCACCACGCTGGCCGAGCTGAATTTGGTTTGCGGACCTAATTCTTCTCCTTGACGGCCCTCCCTTGGAGATCCCGATCAGGAGAGACCTTCCGTCTCAGGCAGGGGGCGCAATATCACATCCCCGGCAGGGGATTTGGAAACTGTGGGTTTGGTCCCTGAGGGGGCCTAACTTCTTGAGAGTGGTCTCTCAACCGAGGTTGTTGAGACCATTCTAAGCTCCAGAGCTCCCGCTACGAGGAAACTTTATGCACTAAAATGGAGAGTTTTCACTTCTTGGTGTCATCAGCGTCAGTGGGATCCAGTTAACTGTTCAGTGAACACAGTACTTGAGTTTCTGAAACGGTGCTTTACGTCAGGTTTATGTCCATCCACGATCAAGGTATACGTGGCGGCCATAGCGGCTTTCCACGCCCTGGTGGGTGGTACATCGTTGGGTCGAGACCCCCTGATCACACGTTTCCTTCGTGGCACATATAGGCTGAGGCCTACAACTGGCACTAGGGTGCCGGCTTGGGACCTTGCAATAGTTTTAGAAGGCGTTCCCAAAGCGTCATCGACGCATCGCGAGTTCCCTATCTCAGGGAACTATGGTTACAGTCGTAACCTGAGACGTTCTTTTTCTTCAGGTGCGTAGAGCCACGGGAATATGGGAAACGAGCCAGAAGGAGACGTGTTCCAAAAAACGAATTATTAATTAATTAACTAATAACAAACACAACAAAATTTACAAATTTTTACAAATTTAAATAAAAAAAATCTCATTCAAAATATATATTTAAAAAAATGACAAAACTATAACTAAAATTAATTAAAAAAATTAACAAAAACTAAAATATATCATTGGCAGTAAAATAAGTCTAAAGGTCCTTGCACACTGTGTCTGAAATTTTCGTATGCGTTTTTTAATATTTTTTGTCATTCGGTGACTCTGAATGGTCAGAACACCTCAAAAACACTTGATACAGAGGAAACCACTGGAGCTCGAGCATCACTCTGAGTGAGTCATGATCTGCTGTTTTAATGTTACAACAAATTCACAACTTGTTTGACACAAACAATGACAACTTGCCTGCTGTTAGAGAACGTTTCCCAGATAATTAGCATCAGTTTTTCATGAGTCTCTGTAACTTAGCCAACAGTTTTATAGCCTGTTCACTGACAACACCTGCTCAGAACAAGCAGTCTAGGCCTAGTCATATTTTCCAAATCACATGATGACTAACATATTGTCACATTATAAACATCTCTCTCTCCAAATAGGCTTAATTATTTTATTAGCACTAAATAAATGAAAGTGTATTGCATAGTCGATGTTATAGTTCACTTTTAAAATCATGTCATATTTTATAATTATATCCTGGCCATGGATGCATTAATCATGTCATCTGTCTTTCAAAGATGTCAGGTAAAGAGCAATTAAGCCTCCTCTCGTTCGCCCTGAGGGTGTGTCATTTGAGAGCCCTGCAAAACACCTCAGAATGCCTGATGATACAAATGCAAAAAACGCAGAAAAACGAATCCGATTTTTTTACTGACGGATGAAAGTGTCAGAGGCAGAGTACGAGAACTGGACGAGAGTTTTGGACTCCGTGTGCAAGGATGGTCCACGTGTTGGTGAGCGACACACACCGCTAACTCGAGTGTGACGTGTGTATCGCTCGACACATCGCTAACTCGAGTGTGACGTGTGTATCGCTCGACACATCGCTAACTTGAGTGTGACGTGTGTATCGCTCGACACATCGCTAACTCGAGTGTGACGTGTGTATCGCTCGACACATCGCTAACTCGAGTGTGACGTTTGTATCGCTCGACACATCGCTAACTCTAGTGTGACGTGTGTATCGCTCGACACGCATTGCTAACTCGTGTGACGTGTGTATCGCTCGACACATCGCTAACTCGAGTGTGACGTGTGTATCGCTCGACACATCGCTAACTCTAGTGTGACGTGTGTATCGCTCGACACATCGCTAACTCTAGTGTGACGTGTGTATCGCTCGACACGCACTGCTAGCTCGAGTGTGACGTGTGTATCGCTCGACACGCTGCTAACTCTAGTGTGACGTGTGTATCGCTCGACACATCGCTAACTCGAGTGTGACGTGTGTATCGCTCGACACGCACTGCTAGCTCGAGTGTGATGTGTGTATCGCTCGACACATCGCTAACTCTAGTGTGGCGTGTGTATCGCTCGACACATCGCTAACTCGAGTGTGACGTGTGTATCGCTCGACACATCGCTAACTCGAGTGTGACGTGTGTATCGCTCTACACATCGCTAACTCGAGTGTGACGTGTGTATCGCTCGACACATCGCTAACTCGAGTGTGACGTGTGTATCGCTCGACACATCGCTAACTCGAGTGTGACGTGTGTATCGCTCGACACATCGCTAACTCGAGTGTGACGTGTGTATCGCTCTACACATCGCTAACTCGAGTGTGACGTGTGTATCGCTCGACACACCGCTAACTCGAGTGTGACGTGTGTATCGCTCGACACATCGCTAACTCGAGTGTGACGTGTGTATCGCTCGACACATCGCTAACTTGAGTGTGACGTGTGTATCGCTCGACACATCGCTAACTCGAGTGTGACGTGTGTATCGCTCGACACATCGCTAACTCGAGTGTGACGTTTGTATCGCTCGACACATCGCTAACTCTAGTGTGACGTGTGTATCGCTCGACACGCATTGCTAACTCGTGTGACGTGTGTATCGCTCGACACATCGCTAACTCGAGTGTGACGTGTGTATCGCTCGACACATCGCTAACTCTAGTGTGACGTGTGTATCGCTCGACACATCGCTAACTCTAGTGTGACGTGTGTATCGCTCGACACGCACTGCTAGCTCGAGTGTGACGTGTGTATCGCTCGACACGCTGCTAACTCTAGTGTGACGTGTGTATCGCTCGACACATCGCTAACTCGAGTGTGACGTGTGTATCGCTCGACACGCACTGCTAGCTCGAGTGTGATGTGTGTATCGCTCGACACATCGCTAACTCTAGTGTGGCGTGTGTATCGCTCGACACATCGCTAACTCGAGTGTGACGTGTGTATCGCTCGACACATCGCTAACTCGAGTGTGACGTGTGTATCGCTCTACACATCGCTAACTCGAGTGTGACGTGTGTATCGCTCGACACATCGCTAACTCGAGTGTGACGTGTGTATCGCTCGACACATCGCTAACTCGAGTGTGACGTGTGTATCGCTCGACACATCGCTAACTCGAATGTGACGTGTGTATCACTCGACACATCGCTAACTCTAGTGTGACGTGTGTATCGCTCGACACACACCGCTAACTCTAGTGTGACGTGTGTATCGCTCGACACATCGCTAACTCGAGTGTGACGTGTGTATCGCTCGACACATCGCTAACTCGAGTGTGACGTGTGTATCGCTCGACACATCGCTAACTCTAGTGTGACGTGTGTATCGCTCGACACATCGCTAACTCTAGTGTGACGTGTGTATCGCTCGACACATCGCTAACTCTAGTGTGACGTGTGTATCGCTCGACACATCGCTAACTCTAGTGTGACGTGTGTATCGCTCGACACATCGCTAACTCGAGTGTGACGTGTGTATCGCTCGACACATCGCTAACTCTAGTGTGACGTGTGTATCGCTCGACACATCGCTAACTCTAGTGTGACGTGTGTATCGCTCGACACACACCGCTAGCTCGAGTGTGACGTGTGTATCGCTCGACACGCTGTTAGCTCGAGTGTGACGTGTGTATCGCACCTGTCCTCCAGTCGCACCCAGAGGTCGTTGAACTGGCGACGGCTCTGCTTCCGCTGCTTGTTCCTGCGCTTCTTCTTCAGCTTGTGCTCCGCCGTCTCCATCAGCTCCAGCCTCTCGGCCAGCAGAAGCTCCTCGTGCTCCTGGAGACTCTCGTGGAGGAACGGCTCCGGCTCCAGCTCTCCTGGCCTCCAGCCGGACCTCCTGCACACACACCGCACGCACACGCACGAACAAAACTTGGTAAAGGTTTTGGCACTTGCTGAGTGAACACACACACACACACACACACACACACACACACACACACACACACACACACTATGGCCATGACTGGAACAGGTTAAATGGTCCTGATAACAACAGTCACACTTGTGCTCCTCGCGGTCAGAAATGCCGCATTGGAAATGAATGCGAGACGAGTTTCCTCTAGTGGAAGCGTTTGGAACTGCAGCCGAACAACATCTCACTGAACGCTGGTTTACTGAGAGATCAGCCTCACATGCGGAACACACTGGGGGAGAGTTACGGCTGAGATTAGCTCGCTTTTAGAGGGAAACATGTTTTTGAAAATATAGATTTCTTATAAAAAAATAGCATTTTTCATACAATTTTAAGTACCATAAAATCTGGAGTTCTGGAGAGTTCTGGGGAGTTCTGGAGAGTTTAGAGAGTTCTGAAGAGTTCTGGAGAGTTCTGAAGAGTTCTGGAGAGTTCTGAAGAGTTCTGAAGAGTTCTGGAGAGTTCTGGAGAGTTCTGGAGAGTTCTGGAGAGTTCTGGGGAGTTCTGGAGAGTTTGGAGAGTTTAGAATAGTTTAGAAGAGTTCTGGAGAGTTCTGAAGAGTTCTGAAGAGTTCTGAAGAGTTCTGAAGAGTTCTGGAGAGTTCTGAAGAGTTCTGAAGAGTTCTGGAGAGTTCTGGAGAGTTCTGGGGAGTTCTGGAGAGTTTGGAGAGTTTAGAATAGTTTAGAAGAGTTCTGGAGAGTTCTGGAGAATTCTGGAGAGTTCTGAAGAGTTCCGAAGAGTTCTGGAGAGTTTTGGAGAGTTCTGGAGAGTTCTGGAGAGTTCTGAAGAGTTCTGGAGAGTTCTGGAGAGTTCTGGAGAGTTCTGAAGAGTTCCGAAGAGTTCTGGAGAGTTTTGGAGAGTTTTGGAGAGTTCTGGAGAGTTCTGGAGAGTTCTGAAGAGTTCTGGAGAGTTCTGGAGAGTTCTGAAGAGTTCTGGAGAGTTCACTGTTGAAGAACTGGAACTGGATTGATACTGAAGCTGAATATGAATTTGTCTCATATTTCATGCAGTTTGCATCATTGATTGCATTATTCTCCTGTTTAACACTATGAAGCGGCTCTGACCCGATCTGGACTGTATAAAGCGCTGTAGAAATAACTCCAGACCCACACACACACACACACACGTCGAGGAGAGCTGTTCTGCACATCTGCTCACGGACTGTGGGTCTCGAACGCTCTGATGCAAACGAGCGGCGGAGCCGAAACTGCACATGTTTATAATGGAACTTTCCGGACCTCGAGTTTCCAGCGTCTCCTTCAATCTGCCAATCCATCCATTTCACAGTGTGAGTGTGAGTGTGTGTGTGTGGGAGTGTGTGTGTGTGTGTGTGTGTGTGTGTGTGTGTGTGTCTCTGATAGTATGTGTGAGTTTGTGCCTCAGTGTTTAGATCTATTAAGAGATGTAAATGTCGGTTGGCTTAACGAGACTCATCTCTGCGTGCCGAACAGCTTCAGTTGAGCTTCTCTTTATGTTCGCTGATCAATGTTTAAATGTGAATAAAAGTCAGAATTAAATCTGTCATATAAAGCTTTTTCATCATATATAAAGCATTTGGACTAAACCACTTCATTCTGTATGAGCTTCTGTGAGCATTAGTGTGTCAGGGACTCCAGCAGCGAGACCAACACACTAACCAGAACTACACACTCCAACACGCATCACTTCCTCCAGACGAGTGTGACGCTCACTGCAGACTGACTCTAACTGTAACACACAACACACACACACACACACACACACACACACACACACACTCTTCATATTTCTGCATATGTCGAGATGAAACCCATGAGCTCTTCACACAATGGGCCCATTCTGACCCAGGTGACCCGGGGGACCCTCATTATGAGCTCACCCTGAGTGTGTGTGTGTGTCTGAGTGTGAGAGAGAGTGTGTGTGTGTGTGTGAGTTAGTTTGTGTGTGTGTGTGTGTGTGTGTGTCTGAGTGTGAGAGAGAGTGTGTATGAGTGTGTGAGACAGAGAGAGAGAGAGAAAGAGAGGGTGTGTGTGTGTGAGAGAGAGTGTGAGTGGGTGTGATAGTGTGTGTGTGTGTGTGTGTGAGAGAGAGAGAGAGAGAGAGAGAGAGTGTGTGTGTGTGTGAGAGTGAGTGGGTGTGAGTGTGTGTGAGAGAGAGAGAAAGAGAGGGTGTGTGTGAGAGAGAGAGTGTGTGAGTGTGAGATAGAGAGAGAGTGTGTGTGTGTGTGTGTGTGTGTGAGTGTAAGAGAGTGTGTGTGTGAGTGTGTTACCTGGGGAGCGGCTGTCCAGCCGGTGTGTGTTCCACCTCATAACCTTCACGCCGTAGAACGTCAATCACTGTGTTGTTTCCCAGAAAATGACCTGCAACACAAACACTCGACCATCAGTTTCTGGACTCAAGTCTCACACACACACACACACACACACACACACACACACACACACACACACACACACACACACACACACACACACACACACACACACACATACACAATCTCAGACACACACACACACACACACAGTGGAAGGTTGCCTGTACTGGTATTACAGGAAGAGTGTGTTGTGTTTCGAGGGTTTAGTTTAATATGTTTTTAAATGTCTTGTAGATTGTCTAATAAACTCTGGTAAACGGTTCCATCGCGTCCGTCCGAGATCTTACATCGGCGGCTCACCGTCTGTAATCACAGTCCAGCTTAAGTCACATCAGTGACGGTTCATTGTTGTTGTAAAAACGTTATTAATTTAGTTCATTTATACCCTGAACAACATTATAAACGCAACACTTTTGTTTTTGCCCCATTTTTCATGAGCTGAGCTCAGAGATCTAAGACTTTTTCTATGTACACAAAAGGCCATTTCTCTCAAATATTGTCCACAAATCTGTCTAATCTGTGTTAGTGAGCGCTTCTCCTGTGCCGAGATCCTCCGTCCCCTCACAGGTGTGGCACATCAAGATCGGATTACACAGCAGGATTACTGCACAGGTGTGCCTTAGGCTGCCACTCTAAACCGTGATGTCATCGTCCAGCTCAGTTCAGTTCTCATATAATGGTGTCAATGCAGGCAGAGCAATAATATTGTTGAATATTAAATTAAATGCCCCCAACTAATGAAGCCAAAAGCCAAAGGCAACAACACAAACCCCATCAGTGGCAGAATGGAGGAAAACCCTCGGGAGAACCCAGACTCAGTCTCAGTTCTCCTCTGGCCAACGAGCGAACAGTGTGTGATGATGATCCAGGCATTACAGGTCAGAGGTCAGACTGGATCAGAACATTCAGAATATTATCCAGTTCCTCTGGTTGAAGATCGGAGTCATCACACCCCTGAATGGCCGTATTGATCGGTGAGCGAGTTGTTGAGTCGATCATCAGGAAAGCGTCTCGCGTGTTGATGATGGACGGCTGAGATAAGCCTAAAACCCACTAAAAGCTTTTATTCAAAACTTCCTGAGCTCAGGCTTTTAGCGCTTGTTTTCTTAAGGGGCCGTTGGCTCGGCGTTATACTGAGCGCATTCATGCTGACACACACACACACACACACACACACACCCGTCCTTTCAGAGTCCAGAAAGACGCCTGTGTCCTTCAGCCTTCACTCCAATTATTAGAGCAAATGCACGGCTTCTTTTCCATACGCCATCATATTTATATTAGAGAAGTTGAGCTGGAGCGGAGAGGTGCGCGCTGGGTAAATAAACGCGCCGGCCCTGAACACACACATCTGCTGATGAACACAGTGACTGACAACATTAACGACACTCTAAAAAATGTTGGGTTGTTTCAACCCAAATTTGGGTCAAATATGGACAAACAAGATTCAAGATTCTTTATTGTCACTACACTGCAAAACATTATATTCTTACCTAGTATTTTTGTCTTGTTTGCAGTCTGAATATCTAAACATTCTTAAATCAAAAATGCATTTACTAGATGAATAACATTCCATAAGATAATAAGTCTTGTTTTCTGGGGAGTTTTTGCCTAAAACAAAGTAAAATGATCTTGAAAAATATTCTTGTTTCCGTTTGAATTAAGATAATTTTTCTTACACCATTGTCACATACTTTTGCTAGTTTTAAGCAAAAACTCACTTAATTTGGATTTTTTTTCTTTTCAGAAAACAAGACATAATAATTGTATGGCATTTTACTACTTTAGTAAATGCATTTTTAGATATTTGGACCGGAAACAAGACAAAAATACTGAGTGAGAAAAGCATTTTATGCAGTGATATATGAAGATATAGCAAAATTTAAGCAATCCTTACAGTGCCATGATCATAACTTTGTGCAAACTAAACATCTAATTTGAATAAATACAATTTAAGTAGAATTTAAAAGAAACAATACGATGATAACCAATATACAGTACATTACGTCAATAAACAATATGCCATAATCAATACAACCCAAAAACAATACAAAACAATGCACACAAAACTAGAGCAAGCAAGGCGAACGTGAAAAACATGATATTGCATACAGTGAAAGAGAAGTGCAACAGAGTGGTGTACACACATACACACACTGAGATATACAGGGCTGTTGTTAACCTTGTGTAAAGCCAGCGGTTTAACCCAACGTTTGGTCCATATATGACCCAAAATTGGGTTAAAACAACCCAGCATTTTTTAGTGTTAGTCTTAGGCCTCGTTCACACAGCAGAAGAACACAGTCCTTAATACGGCTACGTTCACACACAGTTCGGTAACTCACTCCTGTAAATCTTCATTTTGACACAATTTTCATTAATCAAGTCTTAATATCTTCAGTCATTAGATACTTCTCCAGTAAATGTGTTGTGCTGGAGAACGAGACAGAAACACTGAGGAAGAACAGGATTTGAAACCCATTGCTCAGACATTCTGAACCAGTAATTAAGCAGAATATTAATATTAATATTATGCAGATGCTGCTGTTTTCTATCAGAGAAATAAAGCAGTGATCCGTTACCCCACAGACTCCGTGACCGGAGAGACGTTTCCAGCTAATGCTCGTCTCACGTCTCATCTGTCTTACACTTATCCTCCGCTTAAGGGCAGATTATGGACTTACTAAACCCGGCCGTCGTTTGTCTTCGTCCACAGACACGGATTTACATGCATTCCTTCAGCGGACGCTTTAATGCAAAGCGACTTACAAATGAGGAACACAACAACATGATTGTGTTGCATTATTTTCTGTTATCTCTGTAAAGCTGCTTTGAAACAATCAGTGTTGTAAAAAGCGCTTTATAAAAAAGGTGACTTGACTTGACAACAAGCGACTCATCTGGAATTAAACTCACTGAAGAACAAGAGGAAGCGTATGATTACACATTACACACTCTATTACTGTCATCAGCCTGTAACTATTATCTGATGCCATCAGTTAGAAACCCCACAACTCAGTAAAGGTGGTAATTATGTTGAAAGTGTTGAGACTCGCCCGTGTCTGAGAGAACGAGCTTTGATATTTACCATCCCGGACAGCCCGGCTCCTGCGCTAACCTTTGACTGACCCGGGATCAGGACAATACCAGAGCAAACTAAACACTAGGGCAAAGTGACTCTACTCTGAAAACAAATGCTTTCTTACTTAGAATGTGCGTCTTGTTTCCAGTCCAAATATCTAAAAAATATTCTTAAATCAAGATGCATTTACTAGATGAGTAAAATGCCATAAGAAATTATGTCTTGTTTTCTGGGGAAATAAATGAAAATGAAGTGAGTTGTTACTTATAAAAAGCTAAAGCATCTGCCAATGGGGTCAGAAAAATAATGTTAATTCAAACAGAAACATGATTATTTTTCTGACCACATTGGCAGATACTTTTGCTTGTTTTATGCAAAAACTCACTTATTTTTTATTTATTTCCCCAGAAAACAAGACATAATATCTCATGGCATTTTACTTCTTTAGTAATCATCTTGATTTAAGAATTTTTAGATATTTGGACTGGAAACAAAACACAAAAATTCTAAGTAAGAAAAGTGTTGTTGTTTTTTGCAGTGTGGATGAGATTTTAATCCTACAGGACCAGAGAGAAACCCGGTGAAATAATCATTTACTGCCACATCAGAACAAATAAAACTAAAAATTAGCATTTTGACTCATGCAACGAGTTCAACATGAAGGGAAACATTCTTGGGAAATATAGTAAATAATAAAGGGAAATATTCTTGTCCTGGAGTTTATATATTTCCAGAACTGAGACTCATAAAGTCACCTGAGCACATGTCTGGAGTGACCTGCGTTGGAAAAGGCTGTATGTCTAATGCTATTCCCATTAAAAATGCACTAGAAAAATGCATGAATGCACAAGTCGGAAATATGTTCGATACAAAGAGCGTCCAAGGACACACCCTGGATCTGTAATAAGGTGAAATGAATGGTTAGTTGTTGTTGCAAGCTCGAGTCTTGGCTGTTTCTCTCTTCCTATTAGTCGTGGTGCTGGAGGTAAACGCTGTGTAAAGTCCAACAAAGAAGCGAAGCCAAATAAAATCTCCCGGTGTTATTTCAGCGCTCTCATTAATACTCGCTGCACCACCGTCCAAATCTGAAGTCATGAAGGAAACTACATAAGTCACAGGGAATTCAAAATCTTGTTATTGCTGAAGGCGACTTAAAAAGCTCTTTAGATCGTCTGAGACTCGAGATGAGCTGATAAGTGGGCGACCGGCTCACAACAACTTCAACACATTTTTACAATTCTGTGGTATTTTTGTTGGAATTGTTGGCGAGTCGTGTCCGCGGAGGAATGTTTACTGGCGGTTAACATCCTTTAACACGAAGAGCTTGAAAGCTGAGAGATCAGTCCTGCGTTCGCTGAAGAACGAGCCGCTGTCAGTCTGAAAACTAAACGCTCTGCAGTGACTCGAGTCCCAGAAGGAGAAGCAGAGACTCTGAATTATTAGACCTTTTAAATGTTCTTCCGTGTTTCTCCCTCGGTTTGGCAGTCTGTTTTATAGGGTTAGATTTTAACCTTCAACTCTGTTTTTTTCCTCTACTAGGTCATATTTTAATATTCATGTGTGTGTATAATGAGTGTGTTGCAGGTGTGTGTTTTATTGGTTGTTGTCTCCCCTTTCCCACCCTGTACACTCCTACTTTTCCACAGCTTTACATTTTGTTAGTCTTTTTCCAACTCTGAGGTGAATGACCGTGATAAATCAGGGGGGTTTCATGACACTTCAATGTAAATAAAACAACAAAAGACAAAGAAAAATCATTCACTGCTTTTAACTTTTCTTAGTTTAAGGATTAATCTCTGTTTCATGGCTGGTCATTGGCCATTAGCAGGTGTGGCAAAAAGTTAGTTTCAGGCCCTGTATACACATTTACTAGTGTGGCTTATGTCATTAAAAAAGCAGCAGCT